TACTGAAGTCCAGGTATACAACATCCAGAGCCTGTCCCTCATCCTCTAGGCATGTCATCTTGTCATGCCTGGAGATTGGGTTAGTCAAGCAGGACCTGCCTTTCATACACTTATGCTGACTGTCCTGTACATGCTGGGTGATGGCACTAAAGATGATCTGCTCCATGACCTTCCCTGGCACTGAGGTCAGACTGATGGGACTGTAGTTCCCTAGATCCTCCTTCTGGCCTTTCCTGTAGATTTTCTCGCCTCCTGTGAACTGGGACCATCCTGGTCAGCCAGGACTGCTGATAAATGACAGAAAGTGGCTCATTGAACTCTCCTGCCAGCTACCTCAGGACCCTTGGGTGGATCCCATCAGGTCCCATAGACTTCTGTGTATCTAAGTGGTGTAGCAGGTTGCTGACTTTCCCTTTGGGTTATGGGGGCTTCATTCTGCTCCCCATCCCATTCTTCCAGCTCAGGAGGCTTGGTACCCAGAAAACAAATGGCCTTACTATTTAAGACTGAGGCAAAGAAGGCATTAAGTACCTCAGCCTTTTCCTCATACTTTGTCCCTGTGTTTACCTAAGCATCCACTAAAGGATTGAAATTCCCCCTAGCCCTCCTTTTGTTTTGGACGTATTTATGGAAACAGTTTTTATTGTCTTCTGTGACAGTAGCCAGATTAAGTTCTAGTTGGGCTTCGGCCCTTCTAATTTTCTCCCCGTATAACCTATGACATCCTTGTAGTCCTCCTGAGTTGCCTGCCCCTCCTTCCAAAGGCCATAAACTCTCCATTTTCTTCCTGAGTTTCAGCCAAAGCTCTCTGTTCAGCCAGGCCAATCTTCCCTGCTGGCCTGTCTTGCAGCGCAAGGGTTGGCCTGCTCTTGTGGCATTAAGATTTCCTTCTGGAAGGAATATCCAGCCTTCCTGGATTCCTTTACCCTTCAAGACTGCCTCTCAAGGGGCTCTGTCAACCAGAGATTAAATTAATTTAATTTGAAATTTATGTCACCACACTGAAGGGCAAAGAATTTCTGGCAGCAATTAATTGGTTTGTTTTTTTATCATTATTCTTTGTGAAAGGGGTATCATGAAGTAATCATTACTTAGAGTGCTAGATTTAAGCAGGATTGGAAATTTGGTGAGTCTTTTTGACTTGGGCAAGGATTTCTAGTTAATCCAGTTAGCCATGGAAGCCAGAGGCTGTCTTACAGTCTGGTGCTATTGTTTTTCTAAATGGGGCTGTTCTGCTGGGATCCTTTTGTTCCATGCCATTACCTTCTGCATGTCAAAATCTCACTAATTTGGAAGATTTATAGCAGGTACATTTCTGGGGTGGGAAGGAAAGCAAGGTACATAGGAAAAGGGGAGCAGAGCTACCAAGCTAGTAAAGAACGTGAACAAAAACCTTTTCTAGACAAGGTCGCTTTCCTATATTGGGAGTTCATTCTCATGAGTTCATCTCTGCAGTCTGTGAAAGACAAAAAGAAACTGCACCAACCAGCATGAATTCGTTCTCCTTTCTTGCGTTGGCAGTTTTTCATTCAGTTCAAACAGTAGTAGCTTTGCTGAAGCAAAGAATCCTTTCCCTGTAATGGAAACGGTTCATTGCTGTCCTGATGGCAGATATAGTCATACTTGTGGGAGAAAAGGCATAAATACTTGGACTGTGTCTTTCAAATTACTGCCATCACTTATACAGATTCTCGATTGTGCCGATTGCAACTCTTCCTTTTAAAACAGTTTAAATCGGTCAGTTGGAGATCTTAGTCCTTAACATTTTTTATTTCTTGTTGAAAGATGTAAAACCTGTAGTTTTTAAAGAGTTGACTTTGTTCTATCCTAACTAGTTGTCAGAATGGCTGCATTAAACATAGTGTTTGTTCACCTTTCTCTTCCTTCTGGCTTCTTAGAACATTTCAAACGGTCAAATACGAAGGTGGCATAAATATGTTCACACTAAATAATGAAAAGCTGACATGTCAGAGTTCATATTAGGCTGAAAAGTTTTGAGTACTATGAGGTTTTCTGGCATGGCTTGAAATTTCTGCCAGGGCAGCGCACTGGTGGAGATTGTCCATTAGGGGTCAGTGAAGCTCCACCAGTGGAGGTGTTCCCTGCCCTGTCGGATGATTTGATTTCACTGCTTCCTACTGTGTAAATGTCTCTTTCGTCAAAACTCCTGCTTTTTCCAAAGCAACAGCTTAAAGTATAATAGTGGTGTATAGCTGTGGGTACTAAAAATATTGCCAAAGAAATGCACAAGTGTGTTGTTTCGGTACAAGAAGGAAGTACTGAAGGATTAAAAAGACTTTTCTTTCTGTATGCAAAGTTGTGTTTGCTTAAGTGTCTTTTCTGACAGAAAGGATATTTTTATCTAACTTGCAGTGATCTGCATGTTAGGTGCAATCTGTTGTACTTCTTGAGGATCCCCTTCAATGTCTTGTTCAAAAATTATTAAGTATCCAGATGGGCCTTCTTAATTTCCTAATAAATGAATCAAAATGCACCCCAAAAAACCCCAGTGTGATTTATTAATTTTCATTCTATCAGGACTCATAATATCTTTTTTCATTCTTTTTTTCTTTGTACTATTATGTGATTAGGTGGTCTTGAGTGAAATTATTTTTCCTTCCAACTCTGGCCAAAATATAGGTAAACTATCTCTGGTGAAGAATGCTTTTCCTTAAAATTGTAAAGGTAAACTTCATATGTTAATACCAAGTACTTTAGAGGTCTGATTCTATACATTATTCTTTGAAGATACTGTTCTATCACAGAGGATTATAAGGTCAGTCCCATTTAAACAAAATTTTATGTCAGTCTGGCTAAGTGCCAGCCCTTGCAAAAGAATCCAACTTCCTCTAGATCCTAGATAGTTTTGAAATTTTTTATTTTAGTTATAAGTTTGAATTTTTATTTCCTGAAGATGATTTTGGCTCTTAGAAAGGAGGAATCCTGTTTGGTGTTGACTGTGGTTTTTGTTGTCTTGAGGGTATTAAGATGCTTTTTAAAATTAAAATTGTTATATTTTCCTCTAACCCAGGTTCCTTATCATGTTCTCTAAAGCCTTCTCATGTGGCATTTAAAAAGATTATAAAATCTACCGTGTGTGTCTCAGTGTGTTAGTACACACAGTTCTACAGACACCTTCCCTATCTGGCATAAGATTTTGGGTCCCTAAAAGCTGGCTGGTACTGAAGAAAGCAATCAGGCACTTTTCTCAGGCACAGTGATGCAGATTCACAGTAGCAATGTAAAGACAGGCTTTATGGAATTGTCCAAGCTTGCCTGAAAAGAGGGAAGGAAGGCGGTAGGACGGTCAAAATGTGTTACCTGCCAAATTATGAAATTACTTTATGCTACAGGTTCCTGACTACAGTCCTTCTTGCAGGTTACTGCAGCTGCCCCTAATGGAGTCTTAGGGGCATATCAGGAGGGAGACAAAATGCAAAGAGCTCTAATAACCACTGGGAGAAAGAGGAGACCAGAACATCCATCTGCAGCCAGTGATGACCTCTGCATAAGGGCATTGCTTTCCTTGCTCCAATGCAGTTTTGATTTTTAAGAACAGAGAAATGGAAGGGGCTGCTCAAGCCTCATTAACTCAATCCCGTGTTACAGACAAACTTAAAATGGAGGCTTTTTCCCCACTGAAATCCTCAAATAAGCAAGGATTTAAAGAAAATAAACTTCATCCCCTGCTAGGTAGGAAGTCTTGATGGTAAATTTCTTCTGTCCCTGAGCTAATGAATCATAATAGCACAATGGATTTTTCTTCCAAGATTTGGTCCGATTGCCTGCATTTTTTTAGACCCATGTGGTTTGTCGATATCTTCAATATACTGTAGTAGCAATTGCTACAGCATAACAATACACTATGGGAAAAAGAGCTTCTCTTTATTTTGAATTTATTATCTGCTAATTTGTTTCATCCCCCAGCGTTCTCTTACCAGAAGAAACAGATGAACAATTGTTTCCTTTTTACCATTTCTATGGTAAAATAACTTCCCATAATTTTAAGATCTTTTATCAAATATTTCCATCAGTCATATCCTTTACAATCTTGGCAAGCCCTGTTATCTTCAGTTCTTCCTGTTATTGAATCCATTTCATACCTTTAAACATCCTTACAGCCCTTGTCTGTACATATTTTCTTTTACCATCTCTTTTCAAGAAGGCCAGCACTGCATTGAAAAATGGGGTTTCAGCATTGCTTTACACAATAGCTTTTTATAATTTAATCAGCAATTTTACCAGAAGAGGACTTTTGTCCCATGGCATCTTAGTATCTCTAAGAACCTTCAGTGAGAGATGTGGTTGAATGGCTTTTATAAATCTAAGTAAATTAGATGAAGTGGATCTCCCTTTTCATGCAGTCTGTGATGACTGAATATTACAGATATTCTTCCATGACATTTTTCTACATGTCTTCTATTATTTGATTACAGTATCTACCAGCTATCCCAAAATGATGTCACTCCAATATCCCTTAGAGAACTCTCTTCTGTGGAATGTGTGTGGGAGGACAGACAAGATGGGTGGGTTTTGCACAAGATGTATATAGTCACCACTCTAAGGAAAGCGCAGGCAGGTTGCACTGTTTCTGTCATCTTAAGAGCAGACTGAAAGCAGTTTAAAAGCAGTGAAAATCCCCACGTTGACATATTTACAAGTTTAAGCTTGGTTACATTTAACTTCCTCTACCGGTGCTGTTCTGGATACAAATCTGAACTCAAATAACTCTCCTTTGCAGGTTTTTGTGAACTCTGTGCATCCAGACAGGGATTACTCAAAATGGCGACAAAATACATCTTAATTGAAATCAATTTGTTATTCTCAAAATCTCATTGTAAGCAAAAATGGAGACAAGCCTTACTGGAGAAGCCAAGAATTTATTGTTCATCTAACTGACATTTTAGTAGACTTAAATAAAATGCAATAAACATTAATTACTAAATTAATATTTCTCACTGTATTAAAAAAAATCAATTTAAATTGTTGCAGAGAAAAGCACACAGGCGCACACACACACTGAGTAGAGTGTGATGATGACTGGGTTTCCTCCTCTTTGCCAAGAGGAATACAATGTTGGCAACTTCTTCCTCCCTCTAGGTTACACTTGGGGCTATTTTTGTGTTTACTGACACTTTATTAGACCTTGTTCTTTCTTCACTGGTCTGCAAGTGCATTACATCTGCATTTACAATATACAGTGCATTTTACATGTGTTGGGTAATGCCTTTTGCTCTCTTTTACTCCTAACTCTGGTTTTGCCCAGCTCCAAATTGTGAGTATCTTTAATTTACCATTGGTGAGTACTTGCATCCCTAGTGTTATCCCAAGCCCCCTCTTATCAGTCCAGGACTGATTTGTCTAGACCACATCCAGTGTTCCCACTTCGAAGGCTTTTGCTGTCATACTTTGCCATTGTTCCTATATATTTGCACTGGTTGCTGTGTTTGAGTCCCAAATACATCCTTCTACGTAGAATAGCCAGCTGCCACCACTATAAAACTATTACATCACATGACTAAAATATGCAAAATTACACAGAATGGGTAGTATGTGTCTGATCATTAGAAAAAAAAATGTTGTTACATCTCAGCAAGCTAAACCAAGGTTTCCAGTCAGACTGAGACAAGTTTAGCCAAGGAGAACCAGACAACTAGTCAAACATCGGACTAAAGAGACATCACTTACAAAAAACGATTATCAAAATAACATTGTTTTCTATAGGTAGCTGTAGATTCTCTGTGGGGGCTTTCTTGCAAGGCACCACCAAATTAAAATAGGAGAAAGTTGTGTATACTTATGCTATGGATGCTGTGTCAATCTTAAAAAGTGGTGTGATCCAAAATGAGCGGTGCTGTCAAACTGCGTTGGTGCTGGACATTTCCAGGGCAGGGATTGCTCTGGCCTTGCTGCAGTCTGTCCTCAGGCAGTGACTGCTGATAGCAACCAGAATTTGTTACCTGCACTCCTGAAGAACAGCTTGTGATTTAGGGTCTTCTAGTAGAAATCCTCTTCATAAAACATGAAGTTCTATGATGTGAACCAAGGTGCAGCAAGAGGGGATGATCCTTATCTGAATTAAAATTGAATTGAATGCGGGTAGCATGCAAATGCCAGCCAGTGCTAGCATAGGCATGCCTTGTATGAGTTCAAAACTGTGGTGTTCAAGCTCTTAAGTGGCATTTTTTACTTACTGGAGCACCTTCAAGTAGCAAAGAAAGAAAGTAAGAAATTAGCGCTGGAACCAGGGAACTAGACAAAACAAGTGAAATGTGAGAGGAATATGAGATTTCATGATAAATGTACTTAGCCAGCTAGTGAGAGATTTCTGCAAGGGCCATGATGAGATATTAAATGTAGCTGCAAGAGACCAGGGTCATCTACACTTAGATCAAGCTGAAAAATGTAAAAGCACTGCCCACAAACCTGGAAAAGCATACACTCATCATTCAGTGGGAGGAAAAAAAAGAGAAAGTAACAATATTGAAAGACAAGTATACTTCAAACTGAATCTTATTGTGTTAGATCCAGTCCTTGTTTGTAATGTCTTGATTTCTTTTTTTGACAGTTGGGGCAAGGAACACTAGGCTATGTAAAATGCCAGCTAGCTTCTTGAATTACAAAAGGCAGGGAGAAAAACAAGATCTGATTCTGTGGTGAAACGATCCACTCAGAAAATGCTTTTCAATGTGAAAGTCTGCATGCTATTAACTGTAACCGTAAACCTGAGCTAATATAATGTTGTGTTTATTCCCACCGAGTGGGTTCCTGTGAGTCTGATCTTTTGCATCTCCTTAATCCCTGCACATGCTACTTTATGCATTTTCCTTTCTAACACTCTAGCTTTACTACCTGCTGTCTGTGTGCCACATGCAATTTTGGTAAGCATGCAGGATTAGCTTTTTAGCAGTAGCTAGCACTGGCTGGCATTTGCATGCTACCCGCATTCAATTCAATTACTGACTGTGCACAGGGCAGTAATTGCAGTTTCAGGAAGCTAAGGTTAATGAGTAAATTGAGTTTTATGTTTTCCTGGGTCATTAGATACTGATGGATAAAATGTATTTGTATAGGAGATATTTAAATTGTGGAAATTGTGCTAGACTGTGCTAGCAGCTCGTAAAGAAAGTTTAGGTGTCTGCTGAAATTGAAAATGTCTTTGATAATGAAACCCAGAGGAGAATGGAAGAGAGCTATTCTGTCCACTTCCACTTCTCTTTTCCCACCAAATGGACACAGCATGCAATTTGGTCAGTGAGAAAAAGAGAACTTCAGTTTCTCTGCAATAAGACCAACTTTTGCTATGCATTGCACGGCTCTAAGTAAGCATCATAAGTAAATATTAGTGTTAGAGAGACAAAAACAAAAAAGCAAAAAAAAAAGGGAGGTTTGTCTGATGTAGGGGTCTAAATGAAAATTAGACATTTGCCTCCAGGTGCCTGCCCATCTCTGGATAGGTCAGAAAGCAGTCCCTGCAGTACATTAGTTATCAGCTTGATCAACAGGCATCAGGCTTGAAAATTGAATCAGTCATCTAGTTCTAATCAGCTACCATCTAGAAACTGAATTCCTATCAAATCAATATGGACCCTTTTTGTATGCTTCAGTTTTTTGAAAAACTTTAGGAAATCAGTGGTTTCAGAGAAAGTCTAACTTGTCCCAGCTCTGCCATGAGAGGAGGGGGTTATGCTGCAGTAATGGCTTTCTGGAAGTGGTGCGTCTTTTAAGGTCCTCACCTTCCTATTATAGCAAAACATAAGAGTAATTAAAACTAATAAGAGGGAGAATGCAAATGTAAGTAGGTATGTGGGACAGTCAAAACCTCACACCTCAAATGTTGCACACCAGTCGGTAATTCAGCTGAGGGTCAGATCTACCCTGTGTCGCTTGCACCATTCAGTGCCTCATGCTTTCTGTCTCTTTACATCTCCTCCGTCCCCTGTGAGGGGCTTCAGTGAAGATAGACCACAGGGAGCTGGACCTGTTTCCTACCTCCTCTGGCACACTGCAAGTGTAGCACGTCTTGTCAGCCTCATCTTTGATCTCCCTTAAAAGCTCTTCATTAGAAAGTATATCTCAGCCATGGCTAGCACCTTGACCTCTCCCCTGAGAGCATGACCCATTGTGTCCCCTTCTTGTTTATTTAACCCTGTACAAGGCTGTGTTAAAGGAGGGCTTGGAAGCTCAGTAACCACTTTATCTGGGCTTTAACTGCTCAGTGTGCCTGGCCGCTGTTGCTTTGGGGAAGAGAATTAGAGGAGCATTTGAGGAGAAAACAGATAATGGATAATGGATGAGGGTATATCACAAGTAGATTGAGTTTAGACGAGAGAGTGAAAGGGGAGAATTTAGGTGGGAGAGCAAAGGAAGACATGAGACTAATCAAACAAATATTAATGGGGTACAGGGAGAGGTAATTGTGCTCCTTAGTATTAAACCTGTATTGTCAGCCTGTCAGAATTAGTGGGGGAGATGCCTACCTTGTCAGCACTAGCTGAGCCTAGCTCCTGGTGTGCCCAAATGAACCATCAAACAGCCTCTTGCTGGTCAGAAGGGGGGCAGCTGAGCACTGCACAAGCTGCACACCAGTGCTTCTCTGGCAACCCCAGTGAGCAAGCAGGGCTCAGATGCTTCGGTCGGGATCCAAGGAGCTGTCACATGAAAGTCTCATGCACATTTCATACCTATGGGATGGGACTGCCAGGAGCCTCCAGAGCACTACTGCAGTGGGAGCAGAAGAATTAGAGGGGGTGGGACGGAAGGAAGGCAGGCAGGAAGGAAGAAAGGGTAGCATAGGAGCGAAAGCATCTTTCAACTAAAGACTACCTGTATGTACTTTGGTTGTTTCTGAAATATATATGTAGGGCTACTTCTGTGGTGGCACAGAAAACTAGCCCTCAGCTTTTGTTGAAACTATGTCAATTACACCAGTAAAACCTCTTTTCCTAGTATTGCAATATTTGACATGACGTTCCATGTGATGAGCAAGACAGTAGAACCAAAAGGGAGATGCATTAATGTAGGTAAGTATTTTCTACATTGGTGTCCTGGTTTTGTCTGGGATAAAGGTAATTTTCTTTCTAGTAGTTGGCACAGTGCTGTGTTTTGAATTTAGTATGAAAGTAACATGGATAACACACTGATATTTCCAATTGTTGCTGAGCAACTTGGAGTAAGTCAAGGACTTTTCAGCTTCTCGTGGCCTGCCAGTGAGAAGGCTGGAGAGGCACAAGAAGTTGGGAGGGGACACATCCAGGACAGCTGACCCCAGCTGACCCAAGGGATGTCCCATGCCATATGGCATCGTGCTCAGTATATAAACTGGGAGGGGAAGCTGGCTGCTCAGGAGCTGGCTTGGGTACCTGTCGGTTGGTGGTGAGCTGTTGCGTTGTGCAACACTTGATTTGTATATTCTGATTCTTTTATCATTACTATTATTTACTTCCTTTTCTGTTCCATTAAACTATCTTTATCAGAACCCATGGGTTTGAATCTTCCTATTCTCTCCCCTGTCCCACTGGCAGGGGGACAGTGACACAGGAGTGGCTGTGTGGTGCTTAGTTGCCAGCTGGGGTTAAACCACGACAATGGGATGAACCTACTTAAAGGCCATTACATTATACTTTCTTGTTCCTCCCCTGTGGATGGCCAAGTACCTAAGCATATGTCAAGTAGTTTGAAAATGTTGCTGGCATTCAGAAGGGTGGTGTCCTTGACCACTCACCTCTGGTAGAGCTGTAATTAGGCAATTCCTCAAGTTCTGAATTGGATTCGTGACAGCATTTTCTCCTATCTATAGTTTATGCTAAGCAACATAACAAAGGTATATCTTGGCATTTCTTTGCCTTAATACCCCTTTTTTTTTTTTTAAATTTCCACATAATATTACCTACATTTCACAGTCCTTCTGGTCAGATGAGTGTGATCTCTCACAATGACTAGTAGTTATTTTCTAATAATCCTAGTATTTCCATAACCGAGATGGATGTTTCTAAGGGAATGACTACATGTGTGCTTGCAGCTGTGTTCAAAACATAGTACAGCCAAAGACTGTCATGAGTGTAAGTTACACACCCAAAATTTAGTTCCAAAAAGTGTTGGGGCTGCATTTTAAGACCTCGTTTTAGTTCCTAGGCCTCTTCATGCAAATAAAAATTCTTGATGTTGCAGGATTAGTCAATGGCAAAACCCAGCGGGAAGATGATTTTTTCTCCCACTGAAACTGTGGGTGGAGGTCTGCGTTTGCATCCTTACTCTGTAACTATTCTCTGTTCCTGGCCAAAGCAGAAATGGTTAGGATTGTGATCCTGAGCCTGCTTGAATAACCACTTAATAAATGTTATGGTTTTCTCATTATAGACATGAGTTTCAGATCTGAGATTCAGGTGTCTCCATAGCTCTTTCCTAGGCTCTACATGATTATATTAGCTTGTGGCTCTAGTCCTGAAAAGAGTGTAATTTCATCCTCACATTTCCAAAGATTAATCTCTTCTCATTAAAAATAAGGGGTCACATCACGTTGCAAAAAAAATAGTAACATACATCTGAATTTCCCACCCATGTGAGCAGTGGAAAAATGAACAGGAGAGGGAAGGAGTCATCACATCATATACTTAACTCATCTAAATCTGGATGCTTAAATTAGGTTCCTCCACCAAATGGAATCAGGATGAGTCATCTCTTTCACTGTTAGGAAAGCCAAGAGAGATTAGGCTCCTAATTTATTTATCAAAATATTTGATTGTATTTGATTATGTATCAAATACCTTAAAAAGGTGCTCCGAATATCTTGCCTTCTCCCCAGCCTCTCAACTTCTTAAGCTATTAACTTACTGAGCCTGATGAACTTTCAGAAGTACACCAGAACAACTTCTCTTGAGCTCTAGACCATTGGGACACAACAAAGAAACATAAAGAAAGCCGAGATGGAAAAATTTTCAGAAAAAAAATTCCAGAGCTGAAGAGGAGAAGCAGCGGATATGCATCACAGCCACAACAGTAGCTACTGCTCTCAGCCCACATGAACTATGAGAGCCTAATGAGCAAAAGTGGCCAGTCACTTCATAAATATTTGGGCTGAAGGACTGAAGAAGGTCGTGTTTTGAAGAACTGACTACAGACAATTGATCATGATGGGGGTAACAAGGTATTTCTAGGAGGCAAAAGTGTGACTCCAGCAGAGCAAGGTTGGCAGGAGCTGTCATGGAAAGGGCCACCAAGCCTACGGTCCTCACAAGTGGATGCCCAGCATGCCTTGTGGAGCCGTAAGGGCTCCAATGCTGTGACAGACATTGGCTTCAGCAGCCTAAGTGTTGCAGGAACCTTTAATCTGAATCTAGCTAGATGAAAGCTGCTACACGTATAACTAGCAAACTTTGATTACAGTGTAGTTATCTTCAAAAATAGATCATCTTGGGAACCAAGGTCAAGATGTGATTGTAAGAATTAGAGCCTTTCCTAAAAGTGCTGAGGAAAACAAGAACACAAACCGAAAAACCTGTTGATTCTTCCATTTTAATCCTGATGACTGGCTACATCAAACTGATCTGCCGGGAGCCATCACAGATAAATCCACAATAAAGGAAACACTGTGGACCGGCAGCAGACACAACAGAAACCTTCCCAGAGGAGAGAAGAGGTAAGGAATGTAGAACTGCCCTTGTCACTTCTCCTTTGGCAAATGACTAGCTCTCAAAAACCCTAATTAAGTTTCCATCTTTAAAATGTGATTTCCATTTGCTCCCTACGGTTTAAAAATAGTGAAAAGATTTCAGCAATTGATGACACTCTCAGTTGTACTAAATTAGAGTGTAGAGGAATTAGAAATTGCTACTGTTGGTATCACGTAGTAATGGTCTCTCCTTTCTTCTTGCCCTTGCACCAGGTTGCTGTTCCCCACCACCACATTCCTGGGCAGCAGCCACATACCGGAGAGGCAAATCACCTGCCAGAGGTGCTTAGTGGTCAGAGTAAGTTTTCTATCACTTTCGGATTCGTGTAGTCTTTGAAGCCCTTCACTCAGGTTTACCCACAGGTCTGTACCTCCAATCTTTCCTCACATACACAGTCTTGTGAAAGAGGGAACAATTCTGCCTTTATAAGTGTTTTTGACCACAGCTTAACTTAACTGACTGCAGTGGAAATTCTCTAGATTTGCACCGCTGTGAACTAAATCAGGCTTGGGGGATCTGTGTGTGTGGGTTATAGACTCCTTAATTGCCTGTGGGCAGCATTGTCCTCTGACTCAGAAATATCTTTGCCTTGGGAAAAAATAATATACCCCCCCAAAATTCTTGTCTGTCTCTGTTGACAGACACAATCTCTTTAATGTTGCCCTGCATTTGTCTTAACACAATTTATTGGACAAACGGCAAAAAAGGCTGTTAGTTGTTTCCACTGAAATTTGTGAGTGATAAACATATCTGTTATACTCCTGTACAGTAACTGGGCACATTTTTGATTAAATGGTCCCCTAATTCAAAAGCATCTCACCTGCTCCCAATATGACATCAATAAAAATGTAGCTATGTGCTGTGTTTCTGGCATAGTTTCAGCTCTTCCACATTACTTAAATCGTGAGCATATATTCCAGTTAGCTTAGGCTTCAGGCTTTAAAAGCTCAGTGTGAGTAATGAAGGGAAAGCAATCTGATTAGCTGGTGGAGCTGACTAAAAGGCACCTTCATTACAAAGGAGCTTAAAAAAGGAATAAAACTATATAAAATGGATTAAAGGTATAATAATGATGATAGTATCAAACAGCATAACAAAGAAAAATGTCTGCATTCAACTGAAATTAATATTTAATAGATGGTACAGGCATGTTCATGGCTTTATATTCTTCTGTTTTAATGATCTTAACCACAGCTTGAGGTCCTTTGTCTTGTCCCCCTCTACTGACATCAGCTGGAAGAGACAGAGATTAAAAACAAGGGTAATTTCCCCATGGTCATTGCTTGGCACTATTTCTGCTTTGCTCAGCCATGAACTGAAGTTTAAAGGATGAAGTGCTGTCAGTCAGACTGATTCTTGCCTCCAACCTATCTTACCTGGGTTAACCACTCAGCTAGTCACCAAGGAAGCTCCTTTGCCCATCTTACAACCACCCCACAGCCTCATGTTGAGAACGTCACCATAATCTCATTAGGAGGTTGAATTTGCCATTGAAGCTTGAATTCCCCTAACAGGAGGGGAGTGGACTAATGCAATTAAGCAAATTAGCGTTTTGAGCCACTGCATGGTATCTGTCCAATACCATGAGCAAAGAGTAGGTAGTTTTCTTCCTTTCTTAAAAAAAAAAAAAAAAAAGGAAATCAAACAACAAAACCAATACTCCAGTCCTCTCTCCATGTTATGTTCGGGGAAATAGTGCAGTCCCCTGTCATCTGTAAAGGTCTTTACAAATGGGAAGGTTATTATTCACTTGACCAAAAACTTGAATTGTTTCCCTTTATTTTTCCAAGTGCTCCCATCCCAGTAGTTCTGATTATTCTTATCAGTGTAATGTTTATGCTTCTAAGGGTAAAGTGGATAAACCCAGAACATTTTGTTCTTCTCTTATGGTATGTAACAGTGGTTACAAGATAAGAACAGAACTCCTGTTGATTTCAAATCTATTCTGATATGAAGTGCTTCTTAAGTGCTATGAATAACTATTTTAAAATACACCAGATTTTCAGGAGATAATTCTGGCATATTCAGTAATTCTCTAGAAAGGCAGATTATTAAATGCCTAAGGCAGCGCTTTTCTGCCTTTTGTTGTGGGGTTTTGAGGCTAATCCAGTTCCCTCCTCCCTCCCTCACTCTGCCAAGTAAACAAAGCCGCAAGAGCGGACTGTAGCGAGAATCAGGAACTATGAATCTTTGAATAATATTCTGGCACGTGAGTTTCCAGAGGCAACATATTTCTCTTAGAGTACTGGGGAGAGAGAGAGGGAGAGAGGGAAGGAAGGGAGCAGTGGTACCCTCCTGAGGATAATGCTGCTGTCTCCATTACAGCATTTCTTCCTGGGGAGGTAGAAGATGGAATGACACGGGTAGGATCTAGAAGCCTCTTATGCATTTTGATTACCAGAGAGCTTATGCCGCTGGCTGCTTGCTGCCTTCATCTTTGAATGGGAAAGGCAGGAATAACAAGTGTATTTTAGTAGATGTTATTGTGCTACCACTCATCTCCTCACAAACAAATCACAGTCTGCCACCAGGCACTGGAATCAGAAGGAGCAAGAACATGGGTTATTACTAAATAAGGGCATTGGTTATACACTCAACTTTTTGTAATACATGGTTCCTACCATAAGCTGCTTACAAAATAGATATATATTATGTAGGCAGTATACATAGTCCCAAAGGATAGCGTAATCTTAGTAGTTTTTCCTGAAAATGCAAGGGACTTCAAGACTGAGTCAGTACTGAGAATATCTGTCACAAACTTGAAAATAGAATGTAGTATAGATAATGCTGCAGTTATTTGAAAAGCATCACAAAGCTCAGTATTTCAGTAGTCACAAAATCCCAAAATGTCAGAGCTGAGCTGGTACTGAAGAGAAGCTGAAATGTGCTGAAACAGAAAATACAGTACTGAGGCTTACAAACAAAATGAGCTCTGCACTGTGATGGCAATAGCCATACAGTTTGGATTAAAGTATTTTGATATTTATAGTATCCGATCAGATGAGGACAAATTAAAAAAAAAAGAATTATGTTTTAAAATACCTTTTTAGCTCCTGATACCATCACAAGATAGAACCAGGGGTTGAATTATTTTCCTATGTAAGTTCTTACATAACATCACTGTAAAGTGGTCCTGGTTTGCCTATTTATTTTTTTCCTTTTATCATGTTTGGATTTAAATGTAGCCCTAATCCTGCATATCCTCTTTGAAAAGCTTAGATCCATAATGTATTGTGTAGTATTCTTTAAAACGCTTTGCTCTATAGTATGGGGTAGCCTTCAGTTAACAATATAGATTTCAATTCTTAACCTTACATGTGATAGTTTTGATTGGATTATATTCTTCATTTAATACAGTGTAAAATTTCAAATATGCATACTAATTGAGACAAATGATACCCAGCAAAAATATTAGCATTATTTAATATCACATATCAGATAAAACATCCAGTAGCAACACATATTTAGGGGCAAATTCACCAAGATACCAAAAACCAAAAAGTAAAGCATATCATCTGGGAATACTGAGTTTACAGCTTATATTTTCCTATGAATTTTCCCCAATAGTTTATATTTTCCTCTGTTCAGAGAAACATTACCAAGCCATTGAGACAAAGACTGAGAATCTGACCTCTAACTTTGGCGCTGATCTCTGAGGTTGCAGGACTGTTGTGATGGTACAAATATTATATGAAATGAGGGAATTCCTAGTCTATTCCTAATTTTGCATCAAACTAGTCAGTACATATTCTTGAAAATTCTTCAAGGGCAAACACCATTAGTGTGCCATTTTGGGGAAAAAAAAAAAAAAGAGAGATTGAAGCCATATTTTGTATCTATCATGAAAGGCAACTTTATTTGAAGGGCTGTGAATGTGAATGGGTATTACTTGCTCTGAAGGAGGTAAGGTAGGAAAACACTGCCAAGTACCCATGATTAGGTGTCGAGGACCAAGAATCTGAGTGGGAACGATTCCAGAAATGGAAAAAGATGTACAGTGATTGAAAGGACTTTATGATACAGATTTTACAGTTATTATGTATATACACATTGTATGCTTCCCCAGAATTTGTATTTCCCGGGCATGTCCTGGCTTGTTCACCTCCCTGCCCCTCTGTTTCTCTGCCGATTGGCTGGAGAAGCTGTAGAAAGGAGGCAGCCCCCATTCGCCCTTTCCTCCCCTGGTTCCTCCTGCGCTCCTCCCCTTTTGCCCGTGTCTCTATCCTGGTTTGTCCCTCCGCCTGTCTGTCTCCTGCTCCGCCCTATGTTCTGGCCTTTTCCCTCCGGAGCTGATAAAACCCGCGTGCGCGCTGGAATAAAGACTCTACCTGCATCCCACCTTGGTGTCCCGTGCTGTGTCGCGGCCCCATTTCCCCTCCCCCCCTTTCGGACCGCGGCAATTAGGTTTTCCTGGTCACCTTGTTTCATCCCACAGTGAGGTACTTCACTGAGTACCTGTTACCTTTTTCCCCTTCCTTCCCTGTTCTCTTTTTGATGGTATATTTCCCAGCAATGAGATTTTCCATCACGCAAGGTTTCAATAGGTAGTTTACACAGCTCTCCTCTACTACAGATCAGGCATAAAATACATACCAAAATGCAGCTTTGCATCTGCATCTCTGCCTTGACCTACTGCCAGACTTAAACATAATGGTTTCAAACTCTATGGGCCTACGGCATCTTTCTTACCCTGATTATATTTTGTGCTTGGAAAGAAGCAGGAAGCATGGGTAACCCCACAAAGCTGGGAAGACAAGACCTTAAAAATTATGCTGCAGGCAGGAAGGATTTGAAGAGAGGACTAATGTGGCCCAAAGGACAGAGGGGATTTTAATACTTCAAATGAGCAGGAGTTGGAGAGGGGAGGGGAGGGGAGGGGAGGAAGAAGGAGATAAACAAATGCAGGGACATGCTTCAGGGAAAGCTTCATAAAAGAAGAGAATCTAAATGCTGAAAATGAACCTGCCTTTTTATCCTCTTTTTGTATTTCATGCAGTCACATGAGCATAATAGCCGTTCATCTAGACCGCAGGATTCATTAATAACTTTTTCATCTTTTGTGACGTCTGTTAAAATAGTACATGGCTTTGACTCCTGAGATGGTGAACTCTTGTCTTGAATGGAAAAAGGATGGTGTACAGAGTCCAAAATTAAAGGAACTAAAGAGAGCTTACGAACTGTGATAAGCTTAAAAATAATTATCAACAAGTACCAATTTGGTAGATCTTAAAGACCTCTCTTGGTCTTCAGTGGAGAACAGGAGTGTTATAAAAATAGATAAACATCTCTGGAATGTGGCAACCCAGATTTTTAGTACAAAAGTCCAAAAGAAATGAGGAGGCAACTTCTTGTGTGGCGTGCAGAGACACTGCCACGTCTGAATCCATTGTTCTTGATGGACAGCAAAAAGTATGAGTCTGGTGTGCATTCTTCTTCATTCAAGCGATGTCTGTCATGCTATAGTGCTTTATATTATTGTTCACTGTTTATTGCTAAAGGGAAGTGTCCCAATTTTAATATCAGTGCTATGCCTGAATAAATCCCACATGTCTGTTTTTTGGGAAAAATAACATTGATTCATGTAGAGAAGGTGACTAACAGCAAAGCAGAATATGAGGGGAAAAAAAATAAAAATAATGGATCCTTAGTGTTCCTTCCTTTGCAGGAAAGGCTCTAGTTATGATGCAAATGATACAAAATTAATGTATCCATGAATTAAAAATGAGAGGTGGCATAAACGTAAACTCACTTCTGTTCAAATGGAACTGCACTACCATGCTTCTCATGAATTGCCACATTGTGCTAGCACTCCTCAGAGCAAAGCTGCTCACCCTTAGAGGGGTAAATGGCTTCTGCATCACTGAACGCAGAAAGCAGAGGGGCATGCTAGTACGACAGAGGTCTGTGATATGTGGGGTGGATTTGTTAGTGGCACTTCCAGCAGGTGTTGTACACAGCCACAGTGTCTCACGGAGCCTCCACCAGCCCCTTCCTCCTCCCTGCCCTCCATCACCTGGCTATTCTTCATCCACTTGGAAAGGGTGTGTCTCTTCACATTTTGCAAGCATATGCAAAACCCAAATATGCTGAATACATTTTTGAAACAATTATTTGCTCATCTCTAGTCCCCAGTCTTGCATGGGTCTAAATTTAATTTACCACAAGGTTGTCTATTACATAATTTCATTAAGGTTTTCCTAGTCTGTCACAGTTTTGAGCCACCAGAATGGTATTTTACTGTGAGCAGCTTTGGTGAATGAGGATGTTCACTTTATCTTCTAAATTGCAAGTAAACAGATTGAAGTTGCCAATTGTATTGTGATATTCCTTGACAAGTTCAACAATTAACAGCTTTCCATTTTTGCCAGTTATCCCTACATACTTGCCACCTTACCGTAAACTTTTGGCTCATGACAAGATGAATTGTCGAGAACCTCCAAAGTCAGATTTTATCAAAACTCTTCAGAAAATTTGAAATAAATTGTTTATTGTGCATTCCATAAGCTCTTGGTATTTGGAAGAAAGTTAGTTGTTCTATGGAAGTCTTAATGGCTTCATTTTTTTATTTCAAATTAATGTCTATGCTACATCCAATGCTGAATCATCTTCTGTACTCAGAGTGGTAGCTGGTTTGTGATTTCACTTCTGTGCTGACACCCCCTCTTGGAAGCAGAAATCTTCCTACTCTTTTTTTCCTCTGGGCTTAATCTAGTCTTACCCAAGCAGTCACAAGCTGTGCCACCATAGTCAATAGATTTAACCTTCTGCAGGGAAACAAACAGCAGAGCCAGCACATGCAGAGTTCCAGCTCACACTCCAGCCTGCACTCCCAGATCATTCATACGGCCCAGCTAGGTAGAGATGAGCAAACCACCCAGCCCACCACTCCCTTCTTGGCGATGGAGGACAAAAACCCTTGCAAGGCAGCCAAGCCCATGGCAGCACAGATAGGAGAAAGGGTGGAAAACTGAACCCCAGCCCTGCCTTCTCCCAGCTCAGGGCTGAGGGGCTATGGTCAGGGTGAGAACCTCTGCCAGCAAATGTGAACAACATTGCTTGCATCCTGCTGTGAAGGGGGCTGGTTCGCACTCCTGCCGTAACAATAACACTCCTGGAACACCTACTCCATGGCATCCCTGCAACAAGTGCCTGTTCTTACCAAGGATTAGGATAAACTAATTTAGGAAGTTGCAGTGTCAGTGTAAGAAAGACAACAGTGTGAACTTGTAATCACTCCCAGACCAAGATACCTGTGCAATAAACTGAGGGTTTGGTTTATCTTGTCTTTAATGTAAAAAGATCTTTGTGTGAATATTGGACTAATTATTGCACAGGTAAGGCATATACATTTAACATCACGAGACTAGTCAGTGCTAGCACTGTGCTGTCATATCACAATTTTAAATAAAGACTATTAGAGCTTTAATTCCACTACCAGGCAAGAAATTGACAAAGTGATATTTCGTCCTTCAGAAGCTGGAGAACAGACTCCAGGCTTTCTTACAAGATAAGATTACTAGAAAATTTTTCTTCCTCCTTATTTTGCCTGCCCTGGCAAGACACTTCAACACAATTCTGAGCTCAACTCTGCAACCTGAAATGCACTAAATCAATTAGTTATCATATTGTATCTTATTCTTTCTAAAACACCAGCATTTCTGGTAATAAATGTAATAAATATAAAGAACTGCTTCAACCTAACTTCAAAAAAGAAAAGTGCCCAAGTGTTGTGAAGATACAACAGGTGTCAAATTTTCAAGCCTTTTTTGAAATTCTACTGATTCAGTGCTAAGGACAATTCTTGCGTATGCTGCAGGTGTCTGCTGATCTGAAAATATTTTTCAGTGAATACTAATTCCCTATTTGAGTGAAAATCTTTATTGTTGAATCTCTTATTACAGGTCCAGGACAACAACACTATCCATTCTTCTTCTGTTGAGAAACAAACTGTAATACACTACAAGATAAGTTAAGAAAGTAAGCAAAGCTTCCTCTTCAACTTCTGAATAGGAAGTGCTAGCATATTTATTTAAATTCAAAAATTAAAGTTGATGCCTTATTTACTGAAGGAGCATAGAACCCTGAACATACCACTAGAAGTGTTTTTGGTGACAGGTTGTGCTGAGATTGTAGGTCTTTCCCTACAATCAGTGGTCTGTTTTCCAAACATCTCTCTGATGTATGAAAATCAATCTTCCTTGCTTATACTTCTCTTTATGTCAGGATAACGCATTCCTGCTCATTGATTCTTCTTCTTCTGGGCCTTTTATTTTTTGGTACTTAAGCACTGATGAGTGAGAGTTTGCATGTTCCTTAAAAATCATTGATTTCTGAGCTTGTTGTGGAGTCTAAACTGCAGGAAGTAACTATGTGCTTGCCTCAAAGGTGCTGCATAATCAAGAGCTTGAGTGTCATATGGGGATGCAATGATGTGCCCCAAATTCGGATGGGAGAGTTGGAGAGGAAATTCCATGTGGAAACATAGGAACTGTGAAGCATACTTCAATAATCAGCTTTCCTGAGCCCTAATAGAACAGCAGATGCATTGAGGACAAAGAAACTCCTAAACCATCACAGTCAGAGTATTTGTAAGAAGCAATTGTTCGGGATTTTCAGGGGCAAGAAGAAAACTAGGGAGCAGCTGTCTCAAAAACCAGACTTAAATCAAAAACAGCTTTGAAGGGAACTGGCACTTAAGTCAGAGGTCCTAGAGGTTTAGGATCAATTGGAGGTAGATTAATTGAAATGACTATAAAGAGATACAATAAAGAATATGGCATGTCTGCTCATGGCATCTTAGGAGGAATTGAAGTGGGAATGAAAAAAATTTGGGATTTAGTTTCTGCTGGGAACAGTCTGCTTAGTCATGGTCAGAAAAGAAATAGTTGAAGAGGTGCTAAGGGTAGGAGGAAATAATATAGTGGGAATGAAACACTGTGGAAAAATACTGACTCTAATTGCTAAATTTGGCACAGATATATCTAGGAAGTTAATCCTACTGAATGTTTGCTATATTGGGATATTGGTTAGTTATCAGAGCTAAGTGTGTGTGTGCAGAATATGATATTTTCTGCAGCTTTCTTCAGCCAACTGTAGCATTAGAAATGGATAGTTTATAATATTCTGACTGATGTTTTGCTCAGTGTAAGGTGACACTTCCCTTGCAGAATATCCAAACTAATCACACTACCAATGAACAGTCATTTTATTAGTCTGTCTCTTCAGCTTTTAAGATGTTTCAAAATTCCGTGAAGTATTTCTGGCATTGATATTTTATCAAACTATATTTTACAAACAATATATCCAGTAATGCATATCAATTTCAATAATCAGAAACTGTGAAAAGCATCTTCAGCAAATAACAATTATACAGCCCATCTTTCTTTTTCTTCATTGAATACCTGATAAATTAATGCTATCTTTCTGTGCCAGCTCCTCACTGCCTATGAAGAAAGACCCAAAATGAGCTGTTCCTGTCTTGGTGCCTGTGATTAGAGCCAGCCTTTGATTCTCAATGATTCTCATACTCAGGGACGCAAGGAGGGCCAGCAATAAAACTTCTACCCTGGACTTCCGCAGGACAGATTTCGGCCTACTCAGAAGACTGGTTCAGAGGGTACCTTGGGAAACAGCCCTTGAAAACAAAGGGTTCCAGGAGGGATGGACATGCTTTGAGAAGCAAGCCTTGAAAGCACAGGAGCAGGCGGTCCCAGTGTGCCAAAAAGCGAGCCAGTGGGGAAGACAACCAGCCTCGCTGAACAGGGAGATTTTGAAGGAAATTAGGGGAAAAAACAGAACTTACTGACTATGAAAAAAAGGGCTGGCTACTCATGAAGAGTTTAGGAACGTAGTTAGGTCATGTAGAAAGAAAATTAGAGAGACAAAGGCACAATTTGAACTCAATCTAGTCACCTCTGTTAAGGGTAACAAAAAATCTTTCTACAGATACATCAGTAGCAAAAGGAGGGACAAGGAAAACCTCCATTGTTTACTGGGCATGGGTGGGAACATAGTTATCCAAGATGAGGAAAAGGCTGAGGTATTTAACACCTTCTTTACCTCAGTTTCCAACAGTAAGACAGGCTGTCCTCAGGACAACTGGCCTCCGGAGCTGGTAGACAGAGACAGTAAGCTGAATAGCCTCCCTGTAATCCAGGAGGAAGCAGTTAGTGACCTGCTGAGCCACTTGGATCCTCACAAGTCTATGGGATCAGATGGGATCCATCCTCGGGCGATGAGGAAGGTGGCAGAAGAGCTCACCGAGCTGCTCTCCATTATCTACCAACAGTCCTGGCTTACAGGGGAGGTCCCAGATGATTGGAAGTTGGCGAATGTCACACCCATCCACAAAAAGGGTTGCAAGGAGGACCTGGGAAACTACAGGCGCGTCAGCCTGACCTCAGTGCCTGGCAAGGTTATGGAGCAGATCATCCTAAGTGCAATCATACGACACCTACAGAATGGACAAGGGATCAGACCCAGCCAGCACGGGTTTAGGAAGGGCAGGTCCTGCCTGACCAACCTGATCTCCTTTTATGATCAGGTGACCCACCCAGTGGATGAGGGGAAGGCTGTGGATGTAGTCTACCTGGACTTAAGCAAAGCCTTTGACACTGTCTCCCGTAGCATGCTCTGGAAAGCTGGCAGCCCATGGCTTAGACAGGGGCACTCTGTGCTGGGTTAAGAACTGGCTGATGGCCGGGCCCAGAGAGTGGTGGTGAACAGTGCTGCATCCGGTTGGTGGCCGGTCACTATTGTGTCCCCCAGGGATCAGTGTTGGGCCCAGTTCTGTTCGATATCTTTACTGATAATCTGGATGAGGAGATTGAGTGTCCCATTAGCAAATTTGCAGATGACACCAAGTTGGGGGGGAGTGTTGATCTTCTGGAAGGCAGGAGGGCTCTGCAGAGGGACCTGGACAAGCTGGAGAGGTGGTCTGATTCCAACGGGATGAGGTTCAACAAGGCCAAGTGCCTAGGAAGAAATTTTTTACAGAGAGAGTAATCAGACATTGGAATGGGCTGCCCAGGGAGGTGGTGGATTCACCATCCCTGGAGGTTTTTAAGATGAGACTGGATGTGGCATTTAGTGCCATGGTCTAATAACCACGGTGGTCTTGGATCAAGGGTTCGATTTGATGATCTTGGAGGTCTTTTCCAATATTCTATGATTCTATTATTCTTGACTTATTTAGCCTCTTCCTTTTGCATGTCATGAGAGATCCAGGGGTTCAAAACAGTGAAATGTTTTATGACTTTCAGAGTCTTGACTGAGCATAGTTACCACCTCCCCATTCCCCCCAAAAAAACACCTGGGTTGAACTGCATCTGTTGCATTTAGGGGTTAACCAGGAACAAAAGAAACTGTATCAATTCTACTTTAAAAGAGAGACGCGTGGAAAGGCAATAAATTATCCCTGGAAAATGAGTGACACACAGTTCTCTGCTAGCAGATCCTAAGTACTTGTGCCTACAGTGTGGAGCAGATGATAAGTTTTAAAGTGTGCATGTGGCTGTTTATTTACATGGTAGGTGGTTTGTGAGAAGGAAAAGTACAAATTTATTAATATTGGAAACCACATTTGCTTTGTTTAGTTCTAAAATAGGCAGTAACTCTAATAGCATGGCATGTGCTCCTGAATGTTTGAGGTTCACAGATGCCCCTTAGTATGATAGCATGATATATTAATTTTTGAGAGTTTTTTTCCCATTGGACATGACAGTTTGCTGTCCTATGCAAAGATGGGACAGTGTGTAACAGACCAGGTCAGTCTTCAGCATGAACTTTTGTGATTCGCAAGCAAACACCAGACTGAAAAAACCTTGCCTTGTGGTGCTGAGCATGTAGGACTTTGCATTCTGGCTGATGTTTCCTTGAACATTGAAA